ACCTGGTGGAGGAAGAGGAGATGAACAGGAGAAGAAGACAGGACAAGAAAAGGAATCAGGCGGTGAGAGAGGAGAGGAGGAGCAGGAGCTTCCCCAGGGAGTCCCTGCTGTCAGAGGAGGCGCTGAGGGGGCGGAGCCACACTGTCAGCCTCGCAAAGCATCATGGGAGCTCTGCTGCAGCTCCGCAGGCGGCGTTCTCCTTCCTCATGCCCATGAGTGATGACGGGCCTCCATCTGACAGCCAATCGCCAGCCAGCTTTGGAGGTCAGCCAATCAGCCGCCAGCATGGCCCCTACGGAGCAATCTGATTGGAGGAGGGAGCCGGGGAGTGGGCGGGATCTCTGGCTGAAACCGAGCCCACAGCGGCTGAGTCAAGTTCTGATTGGCTGCAGGCGCAGTGGGCGGAACTTAGCAGATGGGCTTTCTCTCTGATTGGCCAGCAGTGATGTTTATGCTTCACAAGGGCTTCTGTGATTGGCCACTGAGAGAAGCCCCGCCTCCTGCTGACGGAGCCACACCTCATTCCCCATCATGCCTCATTCTCAATACTGTACTGCGGTTACCGTGGCAACTAAGCCTGCTGCATGTTTGTTCCTCCAGTCTGTATGCAAACGGCGGCGCCTCCTGGTGGCCGTATGTCAGCATGTGAATACGACCGGAATGAGTTTTTATTTTTGTAACATGTAAATGATCCTGACATGATTATTGATATCTGATATATTATTGATATGATTAGAAATGAAAAGAATCTGCTTGCTTGTAAAAAGAGAAAACTGATGATTTAACAGAGCCATAATTACACACACACACACACACACACTCACACACACACACACTCACACACACACTGATGTCAGGTCCAGCTGTTCTCCAGCGTCACCATAGTAACCACAGCGACAGGATGACCTGCAGCTCCGGATCAGAACAAGTGCCTCGTTTGTTTCCTGTATTCTGTCCGCCATGCTCCTCCATGATGCCCACTGGCCACGCCACTCACACTCACACAGATTTTCTATCAAATAAAGTCCAAGGAACATTCTGCAATGTGGCTGTTCGTCATTAAACGGTTAAATCCTTACGCTGGCCAGTGACTGTAGCTTTAAGAACCACTGAACGGTCTGCTACCATGGCAACAACATCTTTAAAGGGCCAGCAGCAGCAGAATGTAAAGGTAAAGCTACCAGCTAAGACGTTGCTAAAACATTAGCTTTAAATCTCATTAAATTTAGATAATACGCAGCACAACTTATTAGGAAGACCTTTTCAAACTGTTTAGTCCAGAGGGCCACAGAAATAATTACATTGGCCAAATTTGGGCCGCAGGCCTCGAGTTTGACACAGTGTGAAGAAATAACAGTATACTCCTTAACTCATTTATGTAAATGATTAAGCTGAGAGAACAGCGAACTTCAACAATCTGTTTCTGCTTTAATTTTCTCAGTATCACAGAACCACCAGCAGAGGGCAGGAGGGGCCCTAATGGTTCCCTGCTGGGCCTCTGATAGTTCCCTAATGGTTCCCTGGCAGGGATCCACTCTCCTTCAGGAAGCAAAGACAGCACACTGGCATGTTTGAAAAACTCTTTATAAACGTATCAAAAGTAGAAACATCTCTTTAGGCCCACAGAAACATTCAGAGGAAAACAGCAGGAAACACCCAGCAGTACCGGACCGGACCGGACCGGAGCGGATTCAGTTCTGATTAACGGTTCAGTAGTAAAAACCTGAGGTAGAAACGTTTGGAGCTGCTGGACTCCATTACCCAGAAGCCCCAGCTCAACATGGTGAGGCACTTTAACAAGACTGAAACTCCTCCACCATTGCTCCATCTTCATCTTCACCCTCCTCTTCCTCCTCCTCTTCCAGCAGGCACGGCAAGCAGGTGTGGAAGGGCGGAGTCACCAGCAGGTGGCAGTCTGGGGAGCGGAGCGGCAGCCGACGGGACGCCGCCTGAACCCTGCAGCCACGGCAGACGGCGAGTCGCTCCAGATCCAGCAGCAGAGACACCAACTGAGACACACACACAGACAGCTGTTAGCATTATTAGCATCCTGCAGCTAACAGAGTGACCCCTGACCCCAGTGAAGCAGATGCCCCCTATTGGCATGTTAGTATTCAGGTGGAGATATTTTGATTTTATGAAGACGGCACCGGGCCTGAATGACCAGAGGGGCGCTGTTCCCTTCGATATCACCTGCAGGAGCTGCTTCTGCTGGACAGTTCTTCACTGTTGCCCTCTGCTGGTCAGGAGGAGTAGTGCTGCGGACTTGATGCTCTGCCAGAGGAAACTAATCTCTGATCCATAACTTGGACGGGTCGGGTCAGAACGAGATCAGGAAGAGGCGGAGCCAAACCATAGGCCCCACCCAACATGCTGTTACCTGGCTCAGGTGAGCAACTCTGTGTGCGCACTCTCTGTAGAGGCGGTGGCCCTCGGGCAGAAGGTGGGACCGCACGCTGACCCGGAAGCTGCGATCCGTTTGGACGTGGACGATGGCGTCCCTCATGGAGGACAGCTGGAGACGTGAGGAGAGATGTGAGGAGAGACGTGAGGAGAGAAGTGAGGAGAGACGTGAGAGAGAAGTTAGGAGAGAAGTGAGGAGAGACGTGAGGAGAGAAGTTAGGAGAGACGTGAGGAGAGAAGTTAGGAGACGTGAGGAGAGACGTGAGGAGAGAAGTTAGGAGAGAGTGAGGAGAGACGTGAGGAGAGACGTGAGGAGAGAAGTGAGGAGAGACGTTAGGAGAGACGTGAGGAGAGAAGTGAGGAGAGAAGTGAGGAGAGACGTGAGGAGAGACGTGAGGAGAGAAGTTAGGAGAGAAGTTAGGAGAGAAGTGAGGAGAGACGTGAGGAGAGAAGTTAGGAGACGTGAGGAGAGACGTGAGGAGAGACGTGAGGAGAGACGTGAGGAGAGAAGTTAGGAGAGACGTGAGACACGTGAGGAGAGAAGTGAGGAGAGACGTTAGGAGAGACGTGAGAGAGACGTGAGGAGAGAAGTTAGGAGAGACGTGAGGAGAGAAGTTAGGAGAGACGTGAGGAGAGACGTGAGGAGAGAAGTTAGGAGAGACGTGAGGAGAGACGTGAGGAGAGAAGTTAGGAGAGACGTGAGGAGAGAAGTTAGGAGAGACGTGAGGAGAGACGTTAGGAGAGACGTTAGGAGAGACGTGAGGAGAGACGTTAGGAGAGACGTTAGGAGAGACGTTAGGAGAGAAGTTAGGAGAGACGTGAGGAGAGAAGTTAGGAGAGACGTGAGGAGAGACGTTAGGAGAGACGTTAGGAGAGACGTTAGGAGAGAAGTGAGAGACGTTAGGAGAGACGTGAGGAGAGACGTGAGAGAAGTTAGGAGAGACGTGAGGAGAGACGTGAGGAGACGTGAGAGAAGTTAGGAGAGACGTGAGGAGAGACGTGAGGAGAGAAGTTAGGAGAGACGTGAGGAGAGAAGTTAGGAGAGACGTGAGGAGAGAAGTTAGGAGAGACGTGAGGAGAGAAGTGAGGAGAGAAGTTAGGAGAGAGTAGGAGAGAAGTGAGGAGAGACGTGAGGAGAGAAGTTAGGAGAGACGTGAGGAGAGAAGTTAGGGAGAGACGTAAGGAGACACGTGAGGAGAGAAGTTAGGAGAGACATTAGGAGAGAAGTGAGGAGAGACGTTAGGAGAGACGTGAGGAGAGACGTGAGGAGAGAAGTTAGGAGAGACGTGAGGAGAGACGTGAGGAGAGAAGTTAGGAGAGACGTGAGGAGAGACGTGAGGAGAGACGTGAGGAGAGACGTTAGGAGAGACGTTAGGAGAGACGTGAGGAGAGAAGTTAGGAGAGACGTGAGGAGAGACGTTAGGAGAGACGTTAGGAGAGACGTGAGGAGAGACGTTAGGAGAGACGTGAGGAGAGACGTTAGGAGAGACGTTAGGAGAGACGTGAGGAGAGACGTTAGGAGAGAAGTGAGGAGAGACGTTAGGAGAGACGTGAGGAGAGACGTGAGGAGAGACGTGAGGAGAGACGTGAGGAGAGACGTTAGGAGAGACGTGAGGAGAGACGTGAGGAGAGACGTTAGGAGAGACGTGAGGAGAGAAGTGAGGAGAGACGTGAGGAGAGACGTTAGGAGAGACGTTAGGAGAGACGTGAGGAGAGACGTTAGGAGAGACGTGAGGAGAGACGTTAGGAGAGACGTTAGGAGAGACGTGAGGAGAGACGTTAGGAGAGAAGTGAGGAGAGACGTTAGGAGAGACGTGAGAGAAGTTAGGAGAGACGTGAGGAGAGAAGTTAGGAGAGACGTGAGGAGAGAAGTTAGGAGAGACGTGAGGAGAGAAGTTAGGAGAGACGTGAGGAGAGACGTTAGGAGAGACGTGAGGAGAGAAGTTAGGAGAGACGTGAGGAGAGACGTTAGGAGAGAAGTTAGGAGAGACGTGAGGAGAGAAGTTAGGAGAGTGAGGAGAGACGTTAGGAGAGACGTTAGGAGAGACGTGAGGAGAGACGTTAGGAGAGACGTGAGGAGAGACGTTAGGAGAGACGTTAGGAGAGACGTGAGGAGAGAAGTTAGGAGAGAAGTGAGGAGAGACGTGAGGAGAGACGTGAGGAGAGAAGTTAGGAGAGACGTGAGGAGAGAAGTTAGGAGAGACGTGAGGAGAGACGTGAGGAGAGACGTGAGGAGAGACGTGAGGAGAGACGTGAGGAGAGTCGGCGGCAGCAACCTACCCTGCAGCACTGCAGCAGCTGCAGCTCCGGTCCTGCAGCCATCACGGCGACCCAATGCGCCGGCAGCACCGTCCTCCTCAGCGCCTTCAGCAGACGGAACAAGGCCCGCCCCCCTGCGTGGCTGGCTCCGCCCCCAAACAGGAGGAACCCCTGCGGTTCCTGGAAGCAGAGGGGAACGGTTTAGTGGTCGGACCGGCCCGGTTTCATCAGCAGATGACGGTGGCTCCACCGACCAACGAGATAAAGTCCGGCCGACTGCAGGTGATGTCAGCAGTGATGTCAGCGGTGATGTCAGAGCTTCCTGGTGATGATGTCATTACATTCTGGTCGGACTCGGGGTCCGGCAGCTCCACCTCCACTTCGTAGAACTTGCCCCCCTCAGACGTCCCGGTCCAAAGCTCCGCCTCCCTGCCGTAAAGCTCGATGCTGACTGGCTGCTCCTCCTCCTTCGCCTCTGGCGATTGGATGGCAGCAAGGTGAGGCAGAGGAGGAGGGATGAAGGTGAGGCCTGTGGAGACTTGGAGGATGGATCCGTCCTGGAGACAGAGGAGACGCTCAGATGACTGCTACCATGGAAACGGTGAGCGGTCAGCAGCCAGCCCTACCTGAGGCAACAGGCCAGACAAACAGGAGAGGGCGGAGTCAGAGAGGACGGCGGAGGACAGGTGGGCGCGGTCCAGGGTCAGGTTCCACTGGGACAGAGGTCAGGACGACCAGGTCAGGACCACCGGGTCAGGACCACCGGGTCAGAGGACAGGAAGTCTATACCTGCAGGTGAGTCCCAGTCGGAGTTGAACTGGTCCCACTGGTTCCAGTGAAACTGGTGACAGTGGGACAATGGCGTCTCCTCTTCCTCGCTCTTCATCAGCGGACCGATCCAGCCGTTCCGGGTCTCGGAGGCTCCGCCCCTCTTCCTCTTCCTCCTCTTCATCCACATCCTCTTCCTCATCTCCTGAACACAAACCAACTCAGAGATCCGGACGAACCGAGCCGCGGGTCGGAACCGCAGTGGAAACCGGCAGACCCCTACCTCTCGCCTTCCTGCCGTCGTCTCGTGTCTCCAGCGGCGGACGCCGTCCTGCCAGGTGCCCGGACAGACCGTGTCGTCTCCGGGTCGGGTCTCTTGCTTGGTCGGCTGTTTCTGGGCGTTCTGAGGACAAAGCAGAGGGAGGTTTGGTTCTATGCAGAGACCCGGCTCTGGTTCCGGTTCCGGTACTGGACTCACCAGCAGCAGGCAGCGCCGCCTCACACACTTCTGCTTCATGCGGGACGGACCGCCGAACTTCCTCATGTCGCGGCAGAACGTGCAAACGCCGCAGTTCTCCCTCAGACACGCAGGGCAGCTCCGACAGGCCTGGCGGCGCTGCAGCACAAAACGGCGCAAACGGCATTATGCAGCGGCGCAAAACGGCATCATGCAGTGGCGCAAAACGGCATCATGCAGCGGCGCAAAACGGCATCATGCCGTTGATCCTCCTCACCATCTTCTGTCTTGATGCTGACGTCTCGTCTCTCTTCTTGTCCTTCATCTAATCAGCCAATCACAGGGCAGCAGCCGGTCACATGGTGGGCACAGGAGATTCTATTGGTCACGCTGCTTAAAAGATGGTCACATGACTTCCAGATGACCCTATGCCTCACCTGAACTTTCTCATCATCCTCCACTTCCTCGTCTGTAACAGATCCAGTCCTGAGGACCCACTGATCACCTGTCACCTGGAACAGAGACACACACTGAGCCTCACACACACACTGAGCCTCACACACACACTGAGCCTCACACACACACACACACACACTGAGCCTCACACACACACACACACACACTGAGCCTCACACACACACTGAGCCTCACACACACACACACACACACTGAGCCTCACACACACACACACACACTGAGCCTCACACACACACACACACACTGAGCCTCACCACACACACACACACACTGAGCCTCACACACACACACACACACACACTGAGCCTCACACACACACACACACTGAGCCTCAAACACACACACACACACTGAGCCTCACACACACACACACACACACACTGAGCCTCACACACACACTGAGCCTCACACACACACACACACTGAGCCTCACACACACACACACTGAGCCTCAGACACACACTGAGCCTCACACACACACTGAGCCTCACACACACACTGAGCCTCACACACACACTGAGCCTCACACACACACACACTGAGCCTCACACACACACACACTGAGCCTCACACACACACACACACACACACACACACACTGAGCCTCACACACACACACACACACTGAGCCTCACACACACACTGAGCCTCACACACACACTGAGCCTCACACACACACACACACACACACACACTGAGCCTCACACACACACACACACACACTGAGCCTCACACACACACACACACACTGAGCCACACACACACACACACTGAGCCACACACACACACACACACTGAGCCTCACACACACACACACACACTGAGCTCACACACACACACACACACACTGAGCCTCACACACACACACACACACACTGAGCCTCACACACACACACACACACACTGAGCCTCACACACACACACACACACACACTGAGCCTCACACACACACTGAGCCTCACACACACACTGAGCCTCACACACACACTGAGCCTCACACACACACTGAGCCTCACACACACACTGAGCCTCACACACACACTGAGCCTCACACACACACACACTGAGCCTCAGACACACACTGAGCCTCACACACACACTGAGCCTCACACACACACTGAGCCTCACACACACACTGAGCCTCACACACACACACACACTGAGCCTCACACACACACACACTGAGCCTCACACACACACACACACACACACACACACTGAGCCTCACACACACACACACACTGAGCCTCACACACACTGAGCCTCACACACACACTGAGCCTCACACACACACACACACACACACACTGAGCCTCACACACACACACACACACTGAGCCTCACACACACACACACACACTGAGCCACACACACACACACACTGAGCCTCACACACACACTGAGCCTCACACACACACACACACTGAGCCTCACACACACACACACACACACTGAGCCTCACACACACACTGAGCCTCACACACACACACACACACACTGAGCCTCACACACACACACACACTGAGCCTCACACACACACACACACACACTGAGCCTCACACACACACACACACACTGAGCCTCACACACACACACACACACACACTGAGCCTCACACACACACACACACTGAGCCTCAAACACACACACACACACTGAGCCTCACACACACACACACACACACTGAGCCTCACACACACACTGAGCCTCACACACACACACACACTGAGCCTCACACACACACTGAGCCTCACACACACACACACTGAGCCTCAGACACACACTGAGCCTCACACACACACTGAGCCTCACACACACACTGAGCCCACACACACACTGAGCCTCACACACACACACACACACTGAGCCTCACACACACACACACACTGAGCCTCACACACACACACACACACACACACACACACTGAGCCTCACACACACACACACACTGAGCCTCACACACACACTGAGCCTCACACACACACTGAGCCTCACACACACACACACACACACACACTGAGCCTCACACACACACACACACACTGAGCCTCACACACACACACACACACACTGAGCCACACACACACACACACTGAGCCACACACACACACACACACTGAGCCTCACACACACACACACACACACTGAGCCTCACACACACACACACACACACTGAGCCTCACACACACACACACACACACTGAGCCTCACACACACACACACACACACACTGAGCCTCACACACACACACACACACTGAGCCTCACACACACACTGAGCCTCACACACACACTGAGCCTCACACACACACTGACACACACACACTGAGCCTCACACACACACTGAGCCTCACACACACTGAGCCTCACACACACACACACTGAGCCTCACACACACACTGAGCCTCACACACACACTGAGCCTCACACACACACTGAGCCTCACACACACACTGAGCCTCACACACACACACACACACTGAGCCTCACACACACACACACACTGAGCTCACACACACACACACACACACACACACACTGAGCCTCACACACACACACACACACTGAGCCTCACACACACACTGAGCCTCACACACACTGAGCCTCACACACACACACACACACACACACTGAGCCTCACACACACACACACACTGAGCCTCACACACACACACACACACTGAGCACACACACACACACACTGAGCACACACACACACACACACACTGAGCCTCACACACACACACACACACACACTGAGCCTCACACACACACACACACACTGAGCCTCACACACACACACACACTGAGCATCACACACACACACACACACACTGAGCCTCACACACCCACACACACACTGAGCCTCACACACACACACACACACACACTGAGCCTCACACACACACTGAGCCTCACACACACACACACACCTCACACACACACACACACACACTGAGCCTCACACACACACACACACACACTGAGCCTCACACACACACTGAGCCTCACACACACACACACACTGAGCCTCACACACACCACACACACACTGAGCCTCACACACACACACACACACTGAGCCTCTCACACACACACACACTGAGCCTCACACACACACACACACACTGAGCCTCACACACACACACACACACACACACTGAGCCTCACACACACACACACACACTGAGCCTCACACACACACACTGAGCCTCACACACACACACACACACACACTGAGCCTCACACACACACACACACACACACACTGAGCCTCACACACACACACACACACTGAGCCTCACACACACACACACACACACTGAGCCTCACACACACACAGACTGAGCCTCACACACACACACACACTGAGCCTCACACACACACACACACACTGAGCCTCACACACACACACACACACACTGAGCCTCACACACACACTGAGCCTCACACACACACACACACTGAGCCTCACACACACACTGAGCCTCACACACACACACTGAGCCTCACACACACACACTGAGCCTCACACACACACTGAGCCTCACACACACACACACTGAGCCTCACACACACACTGAGCCTCACACACACACACACACTGAGCCTCACACACACACACACACACACTGAGCCTCACACACACACACACACACTGAGCCTCACACACACACACACACACACTGAGCCTCACACACACACACACACACACACTGAGCCTCACACACACACACACACTGAGCCTCACACACACACACACACACACTGAGCCTCACACACACACACACACTGAGCCTCACACACACACACACACACACTGAGCCTCACACACACACACACACACACTGAGCCACACACACACACTGAGCCTCACACACACACACACTGAGCCTCACACACACACACACACACTGAGCCTCACACACACACACACACACACACTGAGCCTCACACACACACACACACTGAGCCTCACACACTGAGCCTCACACACACACTGAGCCTCACACACACACACACACTGAGCCTCACACACACACACTGAGCCTCACACACACACTGAGCCTCACACACACACACACTGAGCCTCACACACACACACAAACTGAGCCTCACACACACACACACACTGAGCCTCACACACACACACACACACTGAGCCTCACACACACACACACACACACACACTGAGCCTCACACACACACACACTGAGCCTCACACACACACACACACACTGAGCCTCACACACACACACACACACACTGAGCCTCACACACACACTGAGCCTCACACACACACACACACACACTGAGCCTCACACACACACACACACTGAGCCTCACACACACACACACCACACACTGAGCCTCACACACACACACACACACTGAGCCTCACACACACACACACACACTGAGCCTCACACACACACACACACACTGAGCCTCACACACACACACACTGAGCCTCACACACACACACACACACACTGAGCCTCACACACACACACACACACTGAGCCTCACACACACACACACACACTGAGCCTCACACACACACACCACACACTGAGCCTCACACACACACACACTGAGCCTCACACACACACACACACACTGAGCCTCACACACACACACACACACACTGAGCCTCACACACACACACACTGAGCCTCACACACACACACACACACTGAGCCTCACACACACACACACACTGAGCCTCACACACACACACACACACACACACTGAGCCTCACACACACACACACACACACACACTGAGCCTCACACACACACACACACTGAGCCTCACACACACACACACACACTGAGCCTCACACACTGAGCCTCACACACACACACACACACTGAGCCTCACACACACACACACACACTGAGCCTCACACCACACACACACACACTGAGCCTCACACACACACACACTGAGCCTCACACACAACACACACACACTGAGCCTCACACACACACACACACACACACACTGAGCCTCACACACACACACACACACA